GCGGGACGACGTCGGGCCAGCCTGGAAGGACAAAATGAGGAATTCGAAAGCGGAACCGGATAATGTGGTAATTGTATTCTGGGAATCAGTTCGGCACGCACTCCTTAACAAGCTTCGACGCGGCTCCCCTGTCTGGCTCTAGACACGGCAAGTTGAACAGCATAGACGAACGGTCAGTTCGTTGTGGTATACAATACTCGGATCTATCTTTTTGATAGCGCGTGATTTCTTTTCGGAAGCACAGGTGTCAGAGTCACGGCTGTCACGTCCGAGCTGATCAATTATCATCAAGAGCTCGTTTTGCTAACACGACTCGCTAACTTGTCATCTGTCATGATTTTCAGGAAACGGTTATTGCGATTCAAGGATATGAAAAATATACCAATTATGGATTCTGTTTTTTAACAATTCTATTTTCATGCGGTAGCGCCTGTTGACTATCTTTAATCGTAGAAAAATGGATCGATCGATGTTATCACGACGACTTTGTTTTCTACATTCCTAACTCTGCTCGTAATACGACAGATAAGATTTCAACATAAACTTGAGACCTATTGGGAAATTGTCATTGTTACAGCAAGATAAAATAATCGTTACGATGATGTAATAGAATACAATAACAGGGCGATAAGCGAATGAAATAAATGTTAAAAATCATAGATAAGTGTGTCTATGTAATGAATTTATTAATATCGAATAATAAATCATTCCACGATCTTTCCTTCTCAAATTTTTATCCCAGAATTTCAGCTCAGAAATCGATCAATCGTTCTAGCCAATTTCGAACGTGAATACTCCTCTCGATGAATTATTAATAAGACGGAAAATGTTAAGAAACGAAAGGGAAAATGGGAGGAGAAGAATAGCGAATGAGATGAAACAAATGATAATTAGTCGATCTCCAAGCCTGCATTCCTCGTTATTTAGCCTGTCTGCGAAAGTTTACATCTCTATTTCCAAATACATATTCATTGAATATATCTATGTGTATTCTATATAGATATCGTTTAGGGTCAACTTCGTGGAGGGTCAGACGAATAGCGTCATACGGTGCTCTCATAAATTACCACTAGTCGGATAACATGTTATTTGCCACTGAGCTCACAAATGAGTGCACTTTGTATTTAATTACTCGACTCACGCCCAGGGCGCATCCTCATGACGGGCCTACCTCAGATCATTTTTACCCAAGGAATATCCCTTCTGTCGATCCATTTTTCCTTTCTCACACTTTCTTCTCTTCCCTCCTCTTCGCTTACTACCTTATCGAATCTTCACCTCGTTTCCTTTTTTTTTTTTATATATATATCTTTTTTCCATATTTTATTCCTCGTAAGCAACATGATTAATCGCGGCAATTAATAATTACGTTCTTTAGTTACCGAAGAATGGTATTTTACGATGTATTTCGCCTCTAGAAATACTTTTTGTAGTATTTTTATTCTTAACTTTTGTCGATTATTTCTTCTTCCTCGCGGAGTAACAATTGGCGATGTTATTTATTCAACGAGTCTCTTCGTTCGTTTTTCGTTCGACCAAGGGTAATTAATAGAAAAATCGAGAATTCTTTGGCAAGATTTTGACAAGCAAAGACAGGATGAGTGGGTTGAACTGATGCACCGACGGGGTGAGCAGGTAAGCAAAAAGGTGAAAACAAAAGGCAGAAGGCAGAGGTAATGCTGTTGGTGAATAGAGTAAGGATAGACACAGACAAGCGTACATTTCGTAGCCCTAATTATTGGTTCCGTCCCAGTTCCGTTCTGGAACAAGAATATAATAAATGGAAGCAATCAATTTTTAAATTACATCCCAATTCGACGGAAGAATATTCTCGCGTGAAAATGGCGAAGATAGTTAGATGTAAAAAAGAATGTATTCTGCATCGGTTAATTTTAATTATATACATTTTTATGTTAATTTTCTCGTAAACACGTTGAGACACCTGATGCCTGACAAAAGACTTTATGTTATATTAGGTTGCCCGAAAAGTGTCTTTCTTTTACAGACACGTCTATTACAACGATGTATCTTTATACAAACATGAAACCTAATCTGTCGAACGTTGTGACATTTATCTTGATAGAACAAAAATCATACGTGATTCGATAAAATAATATAAAATGGAAAATATTGTGCATCCATTATTTCCTTATAAAACGAAAGAAACTTTGCGGACGACCTAATATCGTATTCAACACCGCGTTAGGGTAACATTTCGTCTGCATCTTCTTCCAATCAATTTACAAGATCAAATTCTGTTTCGTAAGAGCGCCAACGTGGCAATAACATGTTTCTCTTACAATTGCCTTTACGGTAAGTTATGCTAATGAAGAGAAGTTACGGAAGTTACGCTGACCTTGAAAGACGATGTTTCCCGTTAGTAAAAAAGTTGAGAGATCTCCGATCGCGTGGTTGTTCTCGTTAAAAGTACGAAAAGTACCAAAGGTTTTCGAGCAAAGGATTATCGTGTCGCTACTTAGGAAGAATTTTAAGGCAATGACGGGACGATCCCGAAATCCAAGACGGCTGTGTCCGAAGGGAATGACAGAGATCGGGTTGCTTCGGACCACCTTCGTGCTCGCCGCAAACTTTATCCTACCTGTTTTCGCTAATTGAGCGAGTAAAAATGTAACTGGACCTTACGCCCCTGAGGTATTTGCACCCTTTTGAAGATACGATCCGTTCTTTTCCCAAGATTTTGCGCTGGACCGCGTTCCTCGTTCCACAATCGCTTCAACCGATCGGTTTACCCGGTCAGATTGCTTAAACGTGTACTCCAAATTACCATTATTTATTTAAATAACTTCGTATTATTCACACGGAATAATATTCCGTCATTTTCTTATCTGATTCTCCACTTGCCCTTACGTTTCGTTAAAAAATAGCATTGTACGGTTCATACAAGTATATTCATCGAAGTATACTGCGACACGTATTAAATTATCCGAGTATTCGTTGATCCTCGACATCGAAATACATGTGAATCCTCTACAACGAGAATTGAACAGAAAAATATGTAACTTAATATAGTAGCAACGAAATAGATAATATTTAAAAATACTAGGGGACATAATATAACTGGTAAATCACATTGCGTCGTCAAGGATCGAATCTCGTTACATTAAGCATGTTTTATTATTATTATTATTCGTTGAATATCATTTTTCGTGTGTTCGACGCCACTTTCTAATACCATCGCAAATTATCAACCAGGTATCTCGATAACAGATAATTTCGGTGCATCGTGATCAAAGAGACTCTCGCGTCTGTGTTTACCGTGAATCCTAAGTAAATGATATAAACTTGTACGTGATATGCATTGAATGGAGTTCGTATATGATCACGCACGCACTTACATATGTATTAGTATTAATACATACGTATGTCACCGAAGGGCCAGGTAATAGCCGTGCGATTTTATACGTGATCGTATAGGATGGAGGCGCCGATGCCACCTGTTACGCTAGCCGTTCGCATACTCGGGGCTGGTTGGCTTTACCTCACCGCAGAAATGGTGGGGACCGACGGCGAGTTTTCATTGGTCAGGCGGCACGTGCTGCACGAGGGTGCCTCGCTCCAAAAACGCATAAATCCCCCGGCGGTGTACCAGCCGACTTTAGAATCACCCCGACAGCGGAGTCGGCGTGCGTGCATCATAAACTGCTCTATAGAATCACATACACGCACATCGTAATCAATAAAAAGAGCTTGTTTCGCAACTGGTGTTTCCGTGAAAATACAGTGGAAATTCAGTGAAGACATCGCACAGAGTAAGAGGCCCACTTATCGACCCTACCGATCCAGTGAGGAGTTTCCATTTCCAAATTCTGTGTTCTATTTCGATTCAGAAATTGCCGGCATGGAACTGCAGGAGATGTTTCGATACGGATATATGTTCCCACCGAGAGAGGACGAGGTCGTATCCTGCACGTATCTGGATTTACCGAGCTACGCTTATTCCAAGAGCAAGTCTGATCTTCCACCAGTAAACAGCATCAGCATACCGCAGTGCATCGTGTACGACGGAAATCGCAGCGATGGCTGGCACACGCCGAGTCCAACCGCAAGTTTACGATCGGTTAGTCCTGCCACAACTTTGTCCGTGTCGTCAGAGCCTGACACGATAAGTACTCCGGTTACGTACCGTTTATTAGGCTCGATGGAGGAACTGAACAAGAGGTACGCTACGAAGAGGAGCCTCGCTACGATCAACAGCGAGGCAACGCAACACGCTATGAACATGATCGATCTAACGGAGGAAGTAAACAGTATGGACGCGGATACCGATGGAACCGCGGATCCTGAGGCTGAAACGGAGCACGAAAAGGCGCAGTCGTCTCGAGGCAGTGTCATCAGCAACTCTAGCAGTTTCTCAGACAGAATCGTAGACGCTGACAGCGAGGACGATGCCGAAATGAGCGACAGTCCCGATCACATAGGATCCGAGATCGATGGAAACGGGAACAATCGAAACGTGGTGAGAAGGAGAGGTAAATACGTTAGCTCGACGATCGTGAGGAAACGCAGACTGGCGGCGAACGCCAGAGAACGGAGAAGAATGCAGAACCTGAATAAAGCGTTCGATAGATTGAGAGCGTATCTTCCGTCTTTGGGTAACGATCGGCAGCTCTCGAAATACGAAACGCTTCAAATGGCACAGTCTTACATCACGGCATTGTACGATTTGTTGCAATAACATTTTTTCCTCTTTTTTTTTTTTTTTTTTTTTTTTTTTTTTTTTTTTTT